AGCAAGTTTTGTAGTGTTTTAATTTGCCTTATTCATATTCTTCTTTTCCAAGCTCTATAATAGACTTGAAAATAAATGTTCTCAGCTGGGCAGGGTGGCTCACGCCTGTAATCCTAGCACTTTGGGATGCGGAGATGGGAGGATTGCTTAAGTCTGGGAGTTTGAAACCAGTCTGAGCAACATAGTGCGACCTCTGTATCTACACACACACACACACACACACACACACACACACACACACACTTAACAGTCTCCCAGCCACGGTAGCTGTAAAACCTAGCAGCCTGATAGCCACTGGGGAAAACAGAATAGGTTTGGAGCTCTCCAAAATATCCCATCCTCAGAAAGTTGTCGCTATTTGATCTGTCTGACAGCTCCCTGGAAAAAAAGGCACTTTCCTTGCTTAACATGGTTGGGACCTTAGTCTGTGCGAAGAGCCCTATCCTGAGGGAATTTGTCAAAAACTATCAGCAAAAATTGTTTAACATCGCAACTGCCTTGCATGGCACTACCATTTGGGGATAATGAGAGGCTGACCAAAAATACTTGAGAGGAAAAACAGGGGAATGAAGTATTTACATGACAAAAAGTATACATTAAAACTTAGTCTGGGAAATTCACTAAACAGAGAGAAACAGCAGCATCAGCAGCAACAACAAACAGAAGCAACAACCAATTGTGAAGACAGGTCAGGTCTGATTTCTAGAAATTTCACATTATTTTATTTAAAACTTTCAGTTTTTAGGAAAAAAATTATGAAAAATGCAAAGAAACAAAATGTGTGACCTACTCACAGGGAAAAAGCAGCCATTAGAAACTTTTTCTTGGGCGGCCTAGACATTGGACTTACTATCAAAGGCTTTAGAACAACTTTTAAAAACATGTTTAAACAACTAAAGAAAAATATGTTTAAAGAACTTTAAAAAGCATGACAATGATGTCTTACCAAATACAGCATATCAATAAAGAGATAAAAATTATATAAAAAAGGGAACAAAATAAAATTATGGGTTGAAAGTACAACTGAAATAAAAAATCATTAGCCAGAGGGGCTTAACAGTAGATTTAAGCAAGCAGAAAAAAGATTCAGCAAGTTGAATATGGGTCACTTGAGATTATACCATCCAGGGAACAGAAAATCAAAAGAACGAAGAAAGATGAACAGTGCCTCAGAGAGTGTACCAATAGGTATATAAGGAGAATCCCAAAAGAAGAGAATATAAAGGGACAGAAAGAATATTTGAAGAGATAATTACCATAAACTTCCCAAGTTTGATGAAGAATATTAATTACATGCACAGGAAGTTAAGTGAACTTCAAGTAGTGGAGAAACAAAGAAATTCATACCTAGATACATCAGAATCAAACTATCAAAAGCCAATGACGAAAAGAAGATCTTGAAAGCTACAAGAGAAAAATAACTTAGCATATACACTCCAGCTTCAAATTCTTCAATAAGATTAAAAGTTGACTTCTTATCAAAATCATTCAGGCAAAAATGCAATGGGGTAACATATTCAAAGTATTTTAAGAAAATGACAGCCAACCAAGAATACTATATCTAGCAAAGCTATCTTTGAAAACAGAAAGAAGAAATGCCCAGATTTATGAAAAATGACAGAATTCATTATGAGTAGATCTTCCCTACAAGAAATACTAAAAGGAGTCCCTCACAGTGAAATGAAAGGACTTTAGATGATAATTTAATCCACACAAAGAAATAAAGAGCACTGCAAGGTAATTACATAAGTAAATTAAAAAGACAGTATAATGTATTTTCATTTGTAATTCTTTTCTTATCCTATCTGATTTAAAAATAGCTACATAAATGAGTAATTATAAAACTGGGCTGTTGGGCTTATAATGTATAAAGATGTGATTTGTATGATAATATTAAAACAAAGGAAGGAGGCAGGAAATTGGCCAATATTGAAGAAATCTTTTTGTCTATTGTTGAAATTAATTTGGATTGATATAGATTAGATTGTTTTATGATAAAAGTTTTAATTCCCAGGCCAAGAATAAGAAAATAACTAAAAATATATGGTAAAAAAACCAAAATAATTAAAAGGATATGCTAGAAAATATAATTAAATTCAAAAGACAGCACTAACAAAGGAACAGAATAACAAAGAAAAACATGTAGGACATATAGAAATAGCAAAATGGAAGGTGTAGAGCCTACTTTATTAGTAAACCATGTTAATTGTAAAAGAGTAAACATGCCAATTAAAATGCAAAGGTTGTCAGAACTGATTTTAAAAAATGAATCAACTGTGTGTTATCTATAAGAGACATATTTTAGATTCAAAGACACAAATACATTGAAAGTAATAGGATGGAAAAAGATAAACCATGAGAATAGTAACCAAAGGGGAGATGGAGTGGCTGGCTATACTAACAGTAGACCAAACAGATTTAAAGACAAATATTATGACAAGAGACAAAGAAAAACATTTTATAATTGTGAAAGTTTCGATCTATTAGGAAGACATGGGAATTAAGAATATATATGCACCTAATAGCAGAGATCCCAATATATGAAGCAAAAACGGAAGTGAGAAACAGAAAATTCAACAATTATATTTGGAGGCATCATTACTTCACTTTCCATAACGGATAGAACAACTAAGCAGAAGATCAACAAAGATATAGAGGGTCTGAAAAAAACAGTAAACCAACTAGAGCTAGTAGTTCCCCCACCAAAAACACAATACACGTTCTTCATATGTGTATATGAAACATTCTCAAGAATAAATCTTATCATGGAAAGAATAGTGGTCCCCAAAGATATCCATGCCTGAATCCCTGGAACCACATTATATTACATGACAAAAGGGGCTTTGCAGATGTGATTAAGGGTATAAACCTTGAGATGTGGAGATTATCCTGGATTGTCTGCATGGGCCCAATCAAAATACATGTGTTCTTAAAAGTGGAGACACTTTCTGGCCGTGGTAGGGAGATGGAAGAAGGAGGAGAAAATTGAAGCGTAAGAAAGTTTTAAGTGACTAATAAACTGATGGACTTGACCCACCATTGCTGGCTTTGAAGATGGAGGAAGGGGACTATTTATAAGGGAATGTGGCTTCTAGAAGCTGGGAACAGTTCAGCTGACAGCCAGCAAGGAAGGGGGGATCTCAGTCCTACAACTTGCAGGAACTGAATTCTGCCAGCAACCTGAATGAACAAGAGAACTCTTCTATACAGTTCTCTTGGGTATGTATCTAGGAGTGGAATTCCTTGGTCATATGATAATACTAAACCCAACTTTTTGAGGAACTACCAAACTGTTTTCCAAAGTGACAGCACCATCTTATGTTCACATCAGCAATGAATGGGGTTTCCAATTTCTCTGCATCTTCATCAACACTTCTTATTCCCTGTCTTTTTCTATGAAAGTCATCCTAATGGATGTGTAGTAGTATCTTACTGTGGTTCTATTTGCACTTTCCTAATGAGTAATAATGTCAAGCATCTTTTCATGTGCTTTTTGATCATGACTATATCTTCTTTGGAGAAATATTTATTGAAATTGTTTGCCCATGTTTTAGTTAGATGATTGTCTTTTATTTCTGAGTTTTAAGAGTTTTTCATATATTCTGGATACAGGTCCCTTATCAGATTGTATATATATAATGTACAATTCCACATGCCCTTGATCTACACACAATATTTTAGGAGTCTATCCTATGATGATATAAAGGAATATAAGAATATTTATTGCAACAGTTTCCAATAACAAACTATCAAAACCAACCTAAACAACCAAAAACAGACTAAATGAGTAGAGATTGGTTAAATAATGGGTACATTCACAATGAAATCTTACACTGCTATTAAAAAGTATTAATTTTTCTCAAAGATATATTAAATACATATAAAATAGAAAGAAGACTAGCATAAGACAAAAGCTAGAGAAGTAGGGAAAGTACATATATTTTTGTATATTCCTAGAGATTTTCTAGAAGCATATATAAGAAACTTAATAACTGTGAGAGAGTTTGGAGAGAACTTTGGCTGGGGGTTCTGGAGTGGTGCAGAGATTTATTTTCACCATTTACTCTGTTGTACTACTTGATTTTTATCAAGTGCATGCATTACTTTTTTGCCTTTTAGTTTTTTATTTTATGCATGTCTAGATTTTTACATTTGCAAATAATTGTAGATTGACAGGAATTTGTGAAGGGGTCCCAATATCCTTCACCTGATATCCCCATTGTTTACATTTTACATCCTATAGAACAATATCAAAACAAGGAAACTGACATTAGCACAATGTGTGTTCTTCTATTACACTGTATCACGTGTAGATTCCTGTAACCACCAAGACACAGAACTATCCCATCACCCCTGCACTACCTCTTTGTAGTCACACTTGCCCACTACCCACACTAACGCCTGCCAACCACTAATCTGGTTTCCATATTTATAATTTTGCCCCAGAAGAATGTTATGTAAGTGAATTGTATAGGATGTTACTTTTTGAGATTGTTTTCCTTCACTTAGCCTAATGCTCTTGAGATCCATCCATTTAGTTATTTGCATCAATAATTTGTTTCTTTCCTCTTTCTTTCTTCTTTCCTTCTCTTTCTTTCTTCTTCTTCTTCTTTTTTTTTTTTTTTTTTTGAGATGGATTCTCACTCTGTGGCTGGGGATGGAGTGCAGTGGTGCAATCTCAGATCACTGTAACCCCCACCTCCCGAGTTCAAGTGATTTTCCTGTCTCAGCCTCATGAGTAGCTGGGATTATAGGCACTAGCCACTACGCCCCAGCTAATTTTTTGTATTTTTAGTAGAGATGGGGTTTCACCATATTGGCCAGGCTGGTCTCGAACTGCTGAGCTTGTGATTTGCTCACCTAGGCCTCCCAAAGTGCTGGAATTACAGGTGTGAGCCACCGTGACTGGCCAATAATTTGTTTATTTTATTGCTGAACATTGGCATAGATGTGTGGATTAATATAAGCATTTACTTAAGGACATTTTGGTTCTTTTCTAGTTTTTGGCTATGATAGGAAGACAGAGGAGAAAATCATCTGGACCCAGGAGTTGAGGATGAGATCACAGGCATGGCACCAGGTATGATTCATTTAAAGAAAGAATTGATAAATTGGACTTCATCAAAATTAAAAACTTTGCCTCTGCAAAATATTCTATTAAGAAGATGAAAGGGCAAGCTACAGAGGGGAGAAAAGATTTGCAAATAGTGTATCTGACAAAGGACTCACATTTACAATACATAAAGAGCTCTCAAAACTCACCAGTAAAAAATAAATCTAATTAGAAATTGGGCAATAGACATGAAGAGACATTTCATAGCTGAGGCAAATAAACATGTGGAAATATATTTAACATCATTAGCCTTTGGGGAAATGCAAATTGAGATTGTGAGAAATCACTACACACTTATTTGAGCAGCTGAAATAAACAAGTAATGATAAAACCAAATGCTAGAAAGGATGCAAAGAAACCAAATTTCTCATTCCTCGCTGTGGGAATATAACATGATACACCCACCACTCCAACAAATGGATTGGTGGTTTCTCAAGAAGCATGCACTTACCATGTTACTCAACAATCACATTCCTGGGCATCAATCAGAGAAATTATACTTCAAATCTGCACAAAAACCTACACATCAATGTTCATAACTGCTCTATTCATGTTTTTATTGGCAGGTAATTTACATACAATGAAATGCAAAAATCCTAAATTGTACAATTCAATGGGTTCTGTCAAATGCCTGCCAAACCTCCGTCCCCCCACTGTAAGATTTAGAACATTCTAGCACTCCCAAAAAGTTCTTTCATGCCCCCTCCAGCTAATCTTTGCCATGCCACTCCACCCATAAACTCCAACACAATCATTTTTATTTTTTAAAAGGCAAAAACTGCAAATAATTTTGCACCAACCTAATACTAGTCTGATTTTTAAACCACAGATTCATTTTCTTATAAATGGAATCATACAATGTATATTCTTTCATGCCTGGCTTCTTTCATTCAGGAACATGATTCTTGGCTTCTGTTGTGTAGTAGGGGATATCAATAGTTCATTTCCTTTTTATTGTCTGCTAACATTCTATTGTATGAATTCAACCTAGTCTGTTTATTCATTCTCCTGTGAATGAATATTTGGGTTATTTCTAATTCTTGTCTTTTACAAATAAAGCTTCTATTGTCATGTTTTGTAAGTCTGTTTGTTAGACATGCATTTTCATCTCTCTATTCTTGTATAAAAACCTAAGGATGGAATCGCTGGATTATACAATAGGATATAGGTGGGCTTGTTGGAAGTGTTTGGATGTACATGCGTTTCTCATGTGTGTACTGGCATCTGTCTAGGTTCCTTTGTGAATAGTTTGCCCAAGCCTTTTGCTCATTTTAAAAAATTGAACTTTTAAAAATCACGTTATAAGAATTCTTAAATATGTCTGATTCTTGGGAAGATAGTCGAATAGGAACAGTTCTGGAGTGCAGTTCCCAGCAAGAACACAGAGGGTGAGTGATCACTGCATTTCAATGAATTTTTACTGCCCACAGACCAGGAGATTCCCAGGCAGAAAAGTGCCACGAATCTCCAGCATGGCTGTTTCAGCCGGCACAGTGTATCTCTGCATAAAAACTCACACAAATCTGGGTGGCCATTTCATTTGGCATCTGGAACACCTGGGAGTCAGAGTCACCCATTCAACTGAAAAAAAAAGGGGCTGAAACAGGGAGCCAGGTGATCTGGCTCGGTGGGTCCAACCCCCGCACAGACTAGCAATCTGAAACACTCTGGATTGAAAGCTTCACAGCAAGCACAGCTGGACCCAGGGGAAGGGTGTCCACCATTACCAAGGCAGTCCGCCATTACGGAGGCAGTCCACCATTACCGAGGCAGTTTACCATTACAGAGACAGTCTGACATTACTGAAGCAGACTGCCATTACCAAGGCAGTTTTAACTATACCTCTATAAACAAAACTGCAAGGAAGTTCACACAGCAGCTGGGCAGAGCCCACAGCAGGTCAGCAATGCCTCTTCTGGCAGACTGTGACTAGGATACCTCCTTGCTCGGCAGGGCATCTCTGAAAAAAGGCAGAAGCATGTCAGGAACTAATAAATAAAGCCCCACCTTTCCAGGACAGAGCACCTGGGAAAAAAGCTGGTTATGAGTTCCGCTGCAGCAGACTCAAACGTACCTGCCCAGCAGCTCTGAACAGAACAACAGAGCTCACAGCTTAGCACTTGAACTCCTATAAGGGACAGACTGTCTCCTCAAACAGCTCCCCAACCCCTGTACATCCAAAAAGATACCTCATAAAGGAGAGCTCAGGCTGACATCGGGCAGGTATCCTTCTGGGACAAAGATAACAGAAGAAGAAACTGGCAGCAACCCTTACTGTTCTGCAGCCACTGCAGGTGATCCCCAGGCAAGCAAGGTCTGGAGTGGATCTCCAGCAGTCCTACACCAGAGAGGCCTGACTGTTAGAAGGAAAACTCAAAAACAGAAGGAAATAACTTCAACATCAACAAAAAGTATGTCCACTCAGAGACCCTATCCAAAAGTCACCAACTACGAAGACCACAGGTAGATAAATCCACAAAGAAGGGAATAAACCTTCTTTATTTATGAATGATGGATGAAAACACCTAAAACCAGAATGCCTCTTCTCCTCTAAGGGATTAAGACGCCTAACTGGCAAAAGAACAAGGCTGGATGGAAAATGAGTCTGATGAATTGACAGAAACAGGCTTCAGAAGGTGGGTAATAAGAAACTTCTCTGAGCTAAAAGAACATGTTCTAACCCAATGCAAAGAATAAGAACCTTAAAAAAGGTTGAACAAAATGCTAATGAGAATAAACAGCTTAGAGAAGAATATAAATGACTTGATGGAGCTGAAAAACACAACACGAGAACTCTGCAAAGCATACACAAGTTTCAAGAGCTGAATTGACCAAGCAGAAAAGAGGATATCAGAGCTTGAAGATCAACTCAATGAAATAAAATGAGAAGGCAAGATTAGAGAACAAAAAGTGAAAAGAAAGGAACAAAGCCCCCAAGAAATATGGGATTATGTGAAAAGACCTAATCTATGTTTCATAGGTGTACCTGAATGTGACAGAGAGAATGAATCCAAGCTGGAAAACACTCTTCAGGATATTATCCAGGAGAACTTCCCCAACCTGGCAAGGCAGGCCAATATTCAAGTCCAGGAAATACAGAGAACACCACAAAGATATTCCTCAAGAAGAGCAACCCAAAGGCACAAAATTGTCAGACTCACCAGGGTTGAAATGAAGGAGAAAATGCTAAGGGCAGCCAGAGAGAAAGGTCAGGTCATCCACAAAGGGAAGCCCATCAGACTCACAGCAGATCTCTCGGCAGAAACACTACAAGCCAGAAGAGAGTGGGGGCCAATATTCAACATCCTCAAAGAAAAGAACTTTCAACCCAGAATTTCATATCCAGCCAAACTGAGCTTCAGAAGTGAAGGAAAAATAAAATCCTGTGTGAACAAGCAAGTACTCAGAGATTTTGTCAGCACCAGGCCTGCTTTACAAGAGCTCCTGAAAGAGGCACTACACATAGAAAGGAGCAACCAGTACCAGCCATTCCAAAAACATACCAAATGCTAAAGAGCATCAACAAAATGAAGAATCTGCATCAACTAATGGGCAAAACAGCCAGCTAGCATCAAAATGGCACTATCACATTCACACATAACAGTATTATCCCTAAATGTAAATGGGCTAAATGCACCAATCAAAAGATACAGACTGGCAAATTGGATAAAAAGTCAAAACCCATTGGTGTGCTGTATCCAGGAAACCCATGTCACACGCAAGGATACACAAAGGCTCAAAATAAAGGGATGGAGGAAGATTTATCAAGCAAATGGAGAGCAAAAAAAGCAGGAGTTGCAATTCTCGTCTCTGATAAAATAGACTTTAAAGCAACAAAGATCAAAAGAGACAAAGAAGAACATTACATAATGGTAAAAGGATCGATACAACAAGAAGAGCTAACGATCCTAAATATATATGGACCCAATACAGGTGCACCCAGATATATAAGGCAAGTTCTTAATGACTTAAAAGAGACTTAGACTCCCACACAATAATAGTGGGAGACTTTAACACTCCACTGTCAATACTAGACAGATCAACCAGACAGAAAATTAACAACGATACCCAGGACTTGAACTCAGACCTGGAACAAGCAAACCTGATAGACATTTACAGAACTGTCCACCTCAAATCCACAGAATATACATTCTTCTCAGCGCCACAGCACACCTACTCTAAAATTGACCACATAATTGGAAGCAAATCACTCCTGAGCAAATGCAAAACAACTGAAATCATAACAAACAGTCTCTCAGACCATAGTGCAATCAAGTTAGAACTCAGAATTCAGAAACTAACTCAGCCGCACAGCTTCATTGAAACTGAACAACTGGCTCTTGAATGTCGACTGGATAAACAATGAAATGAAGGCAGAAATAAAGAAGTTCTTTGAAACCAATGAGAACAAAGACACAACATACCAGAATCTCTGGGACATATTTAAAGGAATTTCTAGAGGAAAATATATAGCAATAAGTGCCCACATGAGAAGACTGGAGAGATCAAAAATTGACACCCTAATGTCAAAATTGAAAGAGCTGGAGGAGCAATTTCAAAAAAACTCAAAACCTAGCAGAAGACAAGAAATAACTAAGATCAGAGCAGAACTGAAGGAGATAGAGACACGAAAACCCCTTCAAAAAATGAATAAATCCGAGAGCTGGTTTTTTGAAAAGATCAACAAAATAGACAGACCACTAGCAAGACTGATAATAAAGAAAAGAGAGAACAACCAAATAGATGCAATAAAAAACAATAAAGGGGAAATCACCACAGATTCCACAGATTTTCAAAGCATCATCAGAGAATATTACAAACAACTCTATGCACACAAACTAGTAAACCTGGAAGAAATGGATAAATTCCTGGACACTTGTGTCCTCCCAAGCCTAAACCAGGAGGAAGTCAAAACTATGAATAGACCAATAACAAGGTCTGAAGTCGAGGCAGCAATTAAGAGCCTACCACACAAAGAAAGCCCAGGTCCAGATGGGTTCACAGCTGAATTCTACCAGACATACAAAAAGGAGCTGGTACCATTCCTTCTGAAACTATTCCAAATAATCCAAAAAAAGGGAATCCTTCGCAAATCATTTTATGAGACCAACATCATCCTGATACCAAAACCCGGCAGAGACTCAACAAGAAAAGAAAACTTCGGGCCAATATCCGTAATGAACATAGACGCAAAAATCTTCAATAAAATACTGGCAAGCTAATTGCAACAGCACATCAAAAAGCTTATCCACCATGATCAGGTAGGATTCATCCTGGAGATGCAAGGCTGGTTCAACATATGCAAGTCTATAAACGTAATTCACCACATAAACAGAACCAAAAACAAAAACCACATGATTATCTCAATTGACGCAGAGAAGGCCTTTGAGAAAATTCAACAGCCCTTTATGCTAAAAACCCTCAATAAACTCGGTATCAATGGAATGTATCTCAAAATAATAAAAGCTATTTACAACAAACCCACAGCCAATATCATACTGAACGGGCAAAAACTAGAAGCATTCCCTCTGAAATCTGGCACTAGACAAGGATGCCCTCTTTCACCACTCCTATTCAATATAGTACTGGAAGTTCTAGCCAGAGCAATCAGGCAAGAAAAAGAAATAAAGGGTATTCAAATAGGAAAGGAGGAAGCGAAATTGTCTCTATTTGCAGATGACATGATAGTATATCTAGAAGACCCCATCGTCTCAGCCCAAAAACTCCTGAAACTGATAAGCAACTTCAGCAAAGTCTCAGGATACAAAATCAGTGTGGAAAAATCACAAGCATTCCTATACACCGATAACAGACTTAAAGAGAGCCAAATCAAGAACGAACTGCCATTCACAATTGCTACAAAGAGAATAAAATACCTAGGAATATAACTAACAAGGAACGTAAAGGACCTCTTCAAGGAGAACTACAAACCGCTGCTCAACGAAATAAGAGAGGACACAAACAGATGGAGAAACATTCCATGTTCATGGTTAGGAAGAATCAATATCGTGAAAATGGCCATACTGCCCAAAGTAATTTATAGATTCAACACTATCCCCATCAAGCTACAAATGACCTTCTTCACAGAACTGGAAAAAACCACCTTAAACTACATATGGAACCAAAAGAGAGCCCATATAGCCAAGTCAATTCTAAGCAAAAAGAACAAAGCTGGAGGCATCACACAACCTGACTTCAAACTATGCGACAAGGCTACAGTAATCAAAGCAGCATGGTACTGGTACCAAAACAGAGATATAGACCAATGGAACAGAACAGAGGCCTTGGAGGCAATTCCATACATCTACAACCATCTTATCTTTGACAAACCTGACAAAAATAAGCAATGGGGAAATGATTCACTGTTTAATAAATGGTGTTGGGAAAACTGGCTAGCCATGTGCAGAAAGCAGAAAGTAGACCCCTTCCTGATACCTTACACTAAAATTAACTCCAGATGGATTAAACACTTAAACATAAGTCCTGACATCATAAAAACCCTAGAAGAAAACCTAGGTGAAACCATTCAGGACATAGGCATAGGTAAGGATTTCATGACTAAAACACCAAAAGGAATGGCAACAAAAGCCAAAATAGACAAATGGGATCTAATCAAACTCCACAGCTTCTGCACAGCAAAAGAAACAATTAGAGTGAAATGGCAACCAACAGAATGGGAAAACATTTTTGTAATCTACGCATCTGACAAAGGACTAATATCCAGAATCTACAAAGAACTAAAACTGATTTACAAGAAAAAACAAACAAACCAACCCATTCAAAAGTGGGCAAAGGATATGAACAGACACTTTTCCAAAGAAGACATGTGAGGCCAACAAACATATGGGTAGGGTAATAAATACAGAAGAAACAATTGAATATGGAAAGGAAATAGCATGCTATTCCACAATTGCTAAAGAAAGATTAGAAAAGTTTCAGCTTAAACCACGAATAATCGCAATAAAATTTTACAACCCTCTGCAAGCATATATGAAAAACACACAAAAAGTTTGCAATGATCTTTTCTTTTCTGTTTTTTTTTTGAGATGGAATTCCACTCTATCACCCATGCTGGAGTGCAATGGCACTATCTTGGCTCACTACAGCCTCCACCTCCTGGGTTCAAGTGATTCTTCTGCCTCAACCTCCCCAGTAGCTGGGATTACAGGCATCTGCCACCAACACCCAACTAGTTCTGGTATTTTTAGTAGAGATAGGGCTCCACCATGTTGGTTGGGCTGGTCTCAAACTGTTGACCTCGGGCGATCCACCTGCCTCAGCCTCACAAAGTTCTGGGATTACAGGCATGAACCACTGTTCCCGACCTGCAATGAACTTTTCTTAAACTAAGAAGATGGGAAAAATGAAAAAAAAATAAATTATAAAATGAAACTTTGGTTTAGAGGTAAGAAATATTTTATGAAAGCCAAGAGATCAGGGTTGTACTGTATATTATGTGAATGTTGTAGCATAACTTGACATTTTGTAGAAGTTGTTTTTCATGCAAATTGTTTTCAGGTGACTTACAAGGTCCCATCAGAAGTGAATAATAATCTTCCATATTCTTGAGAAATCTTAATGGCATCATCTACAGTCTTCCATTGTTCAGTTTAGGTAAACCTGGAAATCATGTTTGTGTATTGTCTCATCCAACTTCAGTTACCCCTTCCCCATCATAAGTTAGGAAGGTCTTGGAGATTTTTGCTCTAGCAATTAGTTCATCATGAATCCTGGAGTTCTTTGCTATTCCAGTCACTGGTCCTCCTTTGCTTCCTGTAAGCATAATGAATTCACCACCATTAACCCCTAAACCATATGTAATTTGTATATCTGATTTTACTTCATGAGCAAAAGTTCTATGTATATCCTGTAATTCTTGCTGAGTATAAAACTTATTTTCAGTACAGACTGTATTTCTGCACTCATGCACCTATGTAACTTTCACTGTTATTGCTGGTTGGGCTTTCCAGGAGTCATCATGACCTTCTGGGTTCTCTGGAAGAGGTGATATTTTTCAGGATGACACTGTAATATTTTGTTAGCTAAAATTCTTTATCTATCTAAATTGATTGATAGTTCCTAACGTCTTGAGTAAGAAGGCTGGTACTTTCTGTTTTTACTAACTCTGTGAGTTAATGTGACCAATGCCTGAGGTTGGGTAACCAGGCCAGTGCCAGACTCTGCCAGAACATTTTTCCTAATACGTTTTTCTATTGCTTTCTATGGATCACTGGGTGTTAATATGAGTTCTGGAATTGCAATTTTCAAAACTGTTTTGTGAATGACTAGCAACATAGTTGCCAGAACATTTAATACATTTCTCTATTGTTTTCTATGGGTCACTGGATGTTAATGTGGGTTCTGGAATTGCAATTTTAAAAACTGTTTTGTGAATGACTAGCAAATAGTAATTTACTCTAATTTTCAAATATAATTTGCAAGTGAAATGTGTAGGACTCCAATAAGGCATTATCACCTACATCCTAAGTATGATGCCCTTGGAAGAGGAAAATAGTGACTTAAGCAAGTACACTCATGTCTGCTTACACCAGTTACTTCTGAACTGCTCACTGGCAGGCAGGGGGAATGACCTCTGGTTGGCAGATGTCCACTCAGTATGACCCTGGATTAGACATAGAGTTACCGTCTGTCAGGCCAGCCATGTGTTGTTGGACTATTCCTTGGAGATACACTCATCAGTGACTGTTAAAGTACCTGAGTCATTAGGTGCCTGTAGACAATGCCCACTGACATGAGCATTGAGTACAAGCTGCCTAGCTGTGCTGACACTGACTGAAGCTTTGAGATTTCACGGTAACATGGCAGCCAATTATATATACTCAGATTTACCATTTGTCAAGAGGTATTCATTCACACTATCAATTAGGCAATTATCATTCCACACACAGGCAGGAATAAAGGAAATAAAAAGACCACAGTGATGGCTCAAGAGACCAATGTACCTTCAGAAGAATCCAGTGGGTCCAGAAGCCCTTTGGATGTTGGTCAGATGCTCCTTTGGGGCAGAGATCATAGCAGCAGCCACCAGGTCTGGAGAAGTCCTTACAGTTCTCATGGGCAAAGCTTCTGAAAACGTCTTAGACAAGATCTTGTCTCTGCTGGTTTTATGATCCCCTGCAGATGGGTCCATTCTCTTGTTCTCAGCCACCTTTCACTTCCTATCAGTTCACTTCAGGTCTCTCATGATCTCAGAGAGCAATAATTGTTATCACCTCAGCCCATTCATATGTGTTTATCTCTTTGGGGATGAGGGGACAACTTCACTGTAGACTTAATTCTAATGGAGATGAGTAACTCCATTTTAAGACATGAGGATCACAAATTATTATCACATATCATCAGGGCAGAGAAGAGCTACCACCTGGGGCTGAAAGCAGATAACTCAATTTATTCTGGAAACACTCTGTCTTGATTATGGTGCCAGTTACTGTGAGGGACTTCCTTTTCTCCACCTGTTTTTTACAAAGTTTGAGTCTGGACTGCTAACATTCTACTGACTTCCAGGTGAAGGGACTGACTACACCATCCCAGCCTGTCAGAGCACTTGCCCCAATACTTCCACTTTAAGAGTTTTCCACCTTGTCCAGAACTACAGCCATTAATCCCCCCATTTTCTCTCTCAGGAGAATGAACAACACATCTCATGTACATACCCATACACCTCTTCCCCCAAATACCAAACACCAAAATCCAATCTGTCTCTTTCCACCTAAGCAATTTTAGACAGTCACTTTCTAGTAATTGCCTTAAGCTCCCTGACTTGCTGCTTGTCCTTTCTCTGGCAAAATCTCATCCCTGGATGAGCCCCACTTTGTGTTGGCTCAGTGACACCACTCAGCTGAACCAGAAAAATATCAAAAAAATGGTCACAGGTATCATCACAAATTCAAATTTCTTACACAACACACTGGCCCCAAATTTTCCAAAAATCAATAAAAGGTTTGTCTCTCCAACGACATCATTTTTTCTATGTTCTTCTAACTTTTCGACCAATCTTTTCTGTGTTCTTCCTTTATTCAACTTCTCTCTTCTGATATCTTGCCAAATCAATTAAGGAGAAAAGATATCCCATTAGGTAATAGCCGATCATCTTTCCATCACCTAAGAAAATAATATGCACAGAATGCACCCACCTCATCTTTCTCTCCCTCATCATGTCAGAAAAATCATCCCTCCTTTTCTCACAAGGCAAATCTGAGATAAAAGATTTAGATTGCTATCTCTCCCCAACTTCACCCCCACTGTCCCTCCCCTATTCCCCCCAACAGACCCCAGTGTATAGTGCTCCCCTCCCTGTATCCATGTGTTCTCATTGTTCAACACCTGCCTGTGAGTGAGAACATGTGGTATTTCATTTTCTTTTCTTGTGTCAGATGGCCTGTAATTCTGGCAATTGGGGAGGCCAATGGAGGCAGATTATTTGAGTCCAGGACTTTGAAAAAGGCCTAAGCAACTGAGGGAAACCCCACCTCTAAAACAAATACAGATAAATAATTAGCTGAGCATGGTGGTGTGGTGGCACGTGCCTATAGTCCCAGCTACTGAGGATGGGAGCACTGAGGTGGGACGATCACCTGAGCCTGGAAGGTTGAGGCTGCAGTGAGCCGTGATCATACCACTGCACTGGAGGCAGGGCAACGAATATTTTTTAAAGGGTCTTCTCTGTGAAAAAAAATAATCAAATAAACAGGTGGCCATGAGGCTCAGGATGGCTCCAGTGTAGTGCACTCAGTTTCTCCTTAAACAAACCAAAACTTGACTCAGTGTAAATAAAAGGAAACTTAAGCTTAACCAGTCAGAAACCATCAACTAACATCTACCTAGAGACTTTCCACTGTAATGATCCAAATGAGACCACTGCTGCACTTTACCAGATCAAGCATTTTCTTTTTCTTCTACATTCACAATGTAAGTCTTCCCCTACCCTCCCGAATCCTCTATGTTGGAGCTCTGAGCTGCTTGTAGCCTGGGGCTGCCTGGTTTTAAATTTCTGAATGCTCAAATATACCTCCTAATGTTTCAGAATGCCTAATCGTGTCTTTTAACAGCTCTCATGGTTACATCATTCTTTCTAGATCCTCAAGTTCTATCTCCTTCAGTGGACTGATTCTTCAGTATGTTAACATGTTCTCCTCTACCATTGTAAAGACTCTCCTATTACGGGCAGTTTCTTACAGAACTACACATACTCTTACTGTGTGATCCAGCAGCTGCAGTCCCTAGGTCTTCATTCAAATGATCGGAAAGCTGATGTCCACACAAAAACCTGAACACAGATGTTTATAGCAGTTTCTAAAATAGCTACCAAAATGGAGGAAGAACTAAGTTGCCCTTCAGTAGCTTAACTGATAGATAACACTGCAGTATATTTAGAAAATGAAATATTAATCACTTCTAAAAAAAAATGAGCTATTGAGCCATCAGAAGACACTGAGAAATGTTAAATGCACATTACTAACTGAAAGAAGCCAATCTGGAAAGCTATCTGCTCTACGATTCCAAGAACGTAACGTTCAGAAAAATGCAAAACTATGGAGACTGAAAAGATTAGTGGTTTGCGGTGGTTAGGAAAAGAGAGGATAAATAAATAGAGCACAAGATAATTACCATAGTGAAAATACACTGCAGGATATCATGACAGCTATGATGATACATTCATTATACATATACTCGTTATACATTTCTCCAAACCCTCAGAATGTGTGTCACCAAGGGTATCACTCTGGGTGATGATGACGTGTCAGTATAAGTCATCAAATATGACATGTCATATTTGTCATAGTCATGACAAATATTCTACTCTGGTATAGGAGGTTGTTAGTGGAGTGACCCAAGAGTGTACAGGAATTGAGGGCATAAGGGAACTCTGGAGTCTGTACTCCATTTTGCTGTACATTTGAAACTACTCTAAAAAAAAATGTCTATCACATAGCCCTTTTCAGGTCTCCAACTGGTCTGAGCCAGTTCTATTAAAGCTCAAAAAACACTGGTTAATAAGCTAGATCTGACCCAACTGGCAAGAAAAGGTAGGAACGACCCAGGCCAAGAGAGTATTTTCCACATATATATACAAGGAAACTGGAGGAAGCCTGGAGGCCCTTTAGCCTGTTTCTGAGCCCGTTGAAACAGCAGATGCAGGCACAGATGCCAGGGGCACCAATGTGAATCTGCCAACATCCAAAGCCACATGAACACAAATGTGCAGAATCTCCTCTGCAATCGGTAGCTAAGGATGTTAGGCCATGATAGGACTAGGATGGGAGATGAACTGAGAATAGATTCTGTAGGCTTTTGTTGCCTCTTCCCAGCCCCAAGCATTTCACTCTTTGCTCTTGCCACAGGCAACAGGGAGGCTTCCTGTGAATATCATCCCCACAGCCTACGGTTGCATCACTCTCAGCCTCTTACACCCTCCTATGGCAGTGTCAGTCAGGACATCCAACCCTGAAAAGTCAAGGGTCCACACATGGCCAACATCACATCAGGGTGAACAGACGCCCTCCTCTGATCTGCAAACAAATGCGCCCTCCCTTCTGGCCCTCTGTCAGCAAATGGAGGCTCTGGAAATTTCCAGACACACAACAGTCTTCTGAACTGCAGGCTGCTGCCCCGTCCTATGGCAGAGTAGACCTTTTCTCCACTAGCCTTGGCCTGTTATCCAGTTGAATGAAATGTCTTTTTAACACAGAAACAGGACACAGAAACTAGTGTTCTTTGGCCCTGACCCCGTCACATGGTTTGTAGGTACACACCAGTCTCAAGTAAATACCACCAAATTGAGCCCTCAGGCCCTAGAGTGTGCACATCGACTCCGCTTTCAGAAAATATCAAGGTACTGTTGGAAAGTCTGCAGACTTTATGCAGAAAAACAAAAATGAAAATAAAAGAAGTGATGAACACATACACACACACACACCCCACAGTGACTAACGGGATCTCCCTCCAGGGAGATTGCAGAGAGGGGAGCAGAAAACATCCCAGGGGTCTTTCACAGCTACTTCCTTGAGCCCCTTTTCAGACCATGCTCTCTAGACCTGTCTCAGCCCAAGCACCACAACCGTGATATGCAGGGGCTAGATTCCTTATCTGAAATTCAACATCAAGAAACAATCTCTTCTACTTAAAACTGATAGGAATATCCTCAATCAACATCCTCATTGGCAGGAATGAAGCTGGGGAGTTTCTTAAAAACTGAGGCCTCTGCCTACCACCAAGAGAACCTGGAAGTTTCCATCTATGCCACGAAGTTCAAATCACTGGCCACTGCCCCGGTGTATGGCAGATTAGACCATCTCTCCGTCTCATGCCATTAAAAGGACACAACCGGTCTTTATATGCCTCTCAATAAGAAAACACCACCACCTGGGAAGAAGTTTCACTGAAAAATAAAAATCAAATTTAAATCCTATCCAACTGCTACATGTTTCATCCATCAGGTAAATACAACCATGTGGCTATTTAAATTCATCTTAATTAAGATTAAATAAAATTTTAAAATTAGTTCTCCCATCTCACTAGCCATATTTAAAGTGCCCAGTAGCCACAAGTAGCCACAACCCACACCTTGGATATACATTCCAGTCATCACAGAATTTCTATCAGTAATGTTCCGTACCCATTCACAGGAAATACAGGAGGGCCTGAGACACTGCAGAGTGAAGCAAAGCAATCCACAAAATCCAGAATACAAGAACCTCTACAGACCAACGACTTGGTTTCTTAAATAAAATGTAATTAAAAAAAAAAGAAATGGGAAGGAAGATTGTTGACCAAAAAGTTTAAAAGATAGACGGAAAACCCATAATGAAAATCAGCGAAAAGTAAACTATGAAGCTTATGGAAGCATGGAAGAGGAAACCAGGAAGAAAAGAAAAGAGTCCCCACAAGAGGCTGGACCACACCTCCTTCCACAGGGAGGAAGAGGACCCTGGCTGGTATCACAATCAAGCAGCAAAGCTTGATTTCCCAGCCTGAGTGCTGAGTACAGGGGTATTCACCTTCTGGCAACCCATTAAGTTAAACAATTGTTTTTACGTGGTTTTCTATGTCTGTATTAAATTTCACCATTAAAAAACGGTTAAATAAAAATCTCATAAAGAGCATTAAGTGTTACCTGGAAAATTACAATAGGCAGGATGAGAGCAATTGGGCCTGTGAGAAGTGACACCTAATCCAAACTGAATTGATAAAAAAGAAGGCAGCCTTTGGAAGATCAGAACATTCCAGAAGAGAATATAGAGAAAAGGGGTGACGCAATGGCTCACTGTAATCCCAGCACTCTTGGGAGGGCAAGGCAGGAAGATCACTCTAGCCTAGAGTTTGAGACTAGCTCAACATGGTGAAACATTGTCTCTACAAAAAATGTAAAAAGCAGCCAGGCCTGGTGGCTCGTGCCTATAGTCCCAGCTACTCTGACGGCTGAGGTGGGAAGATCCCTTGAGCCCAGGAGGTCAAGGCTGCAGTGGGCAGTACATTCATGCCACTGCACTCCAGCCTGGAATGTAGAGCAAGACCATGTCTCAAAAAAGAGAGAGAGAGAAAAAGAGAAAAGGCCTAAGAGGAGGGTAAGCTGTGGCGTTTGAGTACTGAATGAATTCCAGTGTGACTATAAAGTGGTGAGCTGCAGGAAGAACATTTACAGGTATCACAGATTTCTGGATGCTTACGAATAGCAGAAACTATAAATGTTAACTCAGGGATGCTACATATATCCTAGTGATAAGACACAAAATACATCAGATGTATAAAAATGTATGTCTGATGCTTCAAAATAAAGATTGGCACTGCTATTCACACTGGAAGCTGAACCTGTCCTCTGTGGGCTGTGCAATGGACTAACTAAACTCAGAATGTGTTATTGCTTAGAATGCATGGAGTGCCCACCACAGTATCTGGGAGGATGACCTGTCATCCAATAAAAATAAGAAACCAACAACAGGTAAGGAATATTGACATCAGATAATCTTATTCTAGAACAACTCTCTAATAAATCAAACATATTACCCAGCCTTACCTCCTCTACATTCCAGTCATGGGGCACCTCCACAAGAAATCGGAAGCAGTCCAAAGAGTCAGCCTTGTGCTTACACTCTCTGTCAGGCTGGCTGACACAAAACAACCCTCCAAGCTCTTCTCAGGTATCACAATCTTCTTCATTATCTTCTGTCACTAAAAAGAACACAATGGCAGAAAAGTGAGAACAAAACCCATAGCCCTACAGGACTCATTATTTTCAACCAGTTAGGCCACGATTCTTCCAACTCAGTGGAAGAATCTGTCTGTGATGAGTATGGCAATGGCCACATATGAGTCAGACACTGAGAAGGCAGGTCAGCCACAGGTAAAGAGCGGCCAGGAAGCTATTGCTCTACATGTGTGGGGGCTTCTGCAGTTCTGCACGGCAGCAGCTAAGCAGTTGAGGAGGACTTAGAATATTAGGGGTCAAGGAGGAAAGGGACATTTAAAACCAGAGCTTTCAATTATTAAAGAAGAGCTCTAAAGAGTGCTGAGCCTCTCATCACTAGAGTACCTAGACAAAAGGTGAACGAAAATCAGTACACAACAACCCTCCCAATTCAGTGTGCTGAGCCCAAGTGTCTCACCATGTGGCCTTGATCTCATTGTGCAGTAACCAGGGAACACAATGTAAAGTTCACCACTCTATGTTTATTTTGGCATTAATTCTACCGCAAAGAACATATAGGTATGTTTAACACAGCATAAAATCAGAGGACAAGGGCAAAAGGGAGAACAAAATGTGTTATACAGGGTTCTCATTCTCAGAAAGGAACAAATAAATACTTTTATGGGTAGAAATATTTTTCTGGCACTAAATTCTACAAAAAAATTTCTCATGAATGACTTTTTAAAAGGGGACATTACATGATGCAACGGACATGACTTGCATTGAGTTTTACAACAAACCCATAAGGGTACTTCACAAGACCAATGTGTGGTCCTCGTAAGCTGATGATTAAAGACGTCTGCCAAATGCCGGCCGGCAATGATGGATGTCAACAATACCAGCCCAATCCTCCAACCAATTCCCTATCTCCTTTTCAGAAAATAATCACAGAAACTGAAACGTTTCCAGCTCTGAACCAGAATTCTTTACCTGTCCCATAAATAAGCTTTGGGAGGTTCGGAGATGCTTGTTGCTGCCTCAGAAAGGCCTCAGCTGCCTTTCTGGAAAGGTCTTCCTTCCACTTGAGGGCACCTGAAATGATGAATGCCAACCTCCAGTTAGACTTGTTTACATGTCTCCCCTCCCCCGAGATCCATCCACAATGCAGCATTTCAACACTTACCAAAATCTCAAAATCAACAGACCCCCAAATGTAGACAGTCCTGTGGGTACCATTTCTAGAGTCAAGTTCATAGCAGCAACCAACTAAATTGAAGCTTACCTGAGGCTTCTGTGGAATCACTCTTCTCTTCCTTGCAATCTTCTTCTTTGAGTAAATTTCTATATCACTAGTCTCATCAATTAAGTTTCTTCACCCCAGTTCCTGACCACTGCCCACTTGAGAAGGCTCTGAAACCTTTTTCCTAAAAGTGTCCTCATTTTCCAAGTCCTCTTCCTCTGCACTGAGTGAAGAGCTTTCTTCAGATTCATCTTCAGATGCAAATGGCTCGTCAGCTGTGCACTGCCCAGAAATGAAGAGGTGAGGGCTGCTTTCTTCATTGACAGACTTCTCCAGATTTACAGGGTCACTCCGGGGATTAGCTGGTGACAGCTCTGCTTTACCACCTTCTCCAACAGTCTTTGATCCTGAAATGCCCCTCTCTCCTGCAGTGCAGTCCTCTTCCTCATTGCTTTCCCCAGCTTATTCCACTTCCCCTTCTGCTGAGCTCCCCTCAAGCTCATCATTTCGGTCAGCAAATGCTGGCAAATCAACTTCACTGTCTTCTTCCAACTCCTCGTTTTCCTCGTTTGATGCCCTTAGCAGTCATATACTGATCAGTCACCTCAGCATTTTCCTCCTCTTCTGCTTCCTCATCACTAGAGACGGTTTCCAATCTGTTATCTTCAGAAATTTCTTCATCATCATCACTATCTCCAGATCCATCTTCATCTGCAAAAATGGCTTTCTGACGCATTCGATCAGTTTCAAGTCCATTCGTTTTTCTTCCGTTAGCATCAATAGCCTATATTATTAGAAAGAAAATGCAAAAGAATTCCATTTGCAGGTTCATCAGCAAATCTAGAAATGACAATATAGTCAATGAAAATACAAAGAAATAGAAAATGTCAAAGAATTGTTTAGGATGACATAGCAGAGGTAAAAAATGATCTGATAAACACTGGAAGAGTTAATAGGCAAACTCAGGCATGGTTCCCTAATACCACACTTCAAAAAATATATGGAGAGAATAAATAAATAACCCTTTAAAAAGATTAATCTAATTTTAGAAAACAATTGCTCAAAAAGGAAATTAGTGTTTTGTAGATCTTTTGGAAACCTCATCAATTTCTAAGCTAAAAACGCATGATCCTTAAGGGAAATGGCTAATTCCAGGCCCAAAGTAGAAAGATCAAATGAGCCTGGATCCTCTTGTTCTGTCAGAAAGTAAGAAATGCTCAAAGACTAACATAGACAGGTGAAAGAACATAGGCTCCCACAGCCGAATCTAGGACAGCATAGGCATCAGAAAGAATAATGATAGTGACAGAAAATAACCCATGGAATAAAACACAAGTGCATTAGTCACCAGTGATACCAAAATAAAGGGGAGAAGTGAAAGTTCTTTGTTAAAAATGCCAGCTAACAAATGTAGAAGGACTGACAGAGGAAGAACATCCATTTTAAGTCACCAGTGCCATAACTGATAACGAAGAATCATCAGGAGGCTAAAATCACAGGATGAAACACAACTGTTCCATCAAGCTGTTTAACATAGCACAATACATAAAATTTTAAAAACGTAAATTAGGAACAACTAAAAATCATACCATAAGAGATGGGTAAGTTAGAATACAGCAATAACAGGCAAGGCTAATCCAAGGATTTTGGGAGGCCAACGCGGGAGGATTCCTTGGGCCCCGGAGTTCTAGACCAGCCTGGGCCACATAGTGATACCTCGTCTCTAGAAAACAGTTTAAAACATTTAGCCAGGAGTGGTTGAAAGGACACAGGAGACAGGCTGAAAGCTCCCGCACTCCTGCAGTCTCAGCTACTTGGGGGCTGAAGTGAGAGGATCACTTCAGCCTGGGAGTTCAATGCTGCGGTGAGCCAAGATCATGCCACTGCACTCCAGCCTGGGAGACAAAGTGAGACCTTGTCTCAAAAACAAACAAAAGAATACACCAATAATAACAAAATAATGACGACATAAAGACTGTATAGAAAAAGAAAATGCTCAGAATATACAAATAAAATTATGTATCTAAACTGTAACTGTATTAGAAGGCAGTATTCTTGTAGACAAGGACGACTAGAAGGATATGCAAAAATGCAAACAGCTCATAACACTCATTATAAAAGAGTGATCTTTCAGTGAACACTTTGTATCTGTCAGGCACTGTGCTAGGTAGTTTATGCACAGTGTAACAAATTACATACTGAATAATCTCAAAATTTTCAGATACATTTTACAGGGAATCATAAATCAATACAACAAAACCAAGGTTTTGCAAACATCCACTATGTATAAAGGCATACAAATTTCCAACCCAGACTGAAAAAGAATTCACATAAGCCACACATCAGTGGAAACCTACCCATGGGAGACAGAACAACATAATCTAAATAAAACTTTCAGAGCCAAGGCACGTGGCTTCTGGACAGCCACAAACTCTCTGGCTCTGCTCTAGTGTTTTGGCCACCAAAAGAAAGCCAAGTGGCCTCAAGTCCCTTAAAAAAACAAAAAGCAACCTATGGAAAATGGCATGGTATTTAAGGAATATTTGAGGACTGTCGAAAAATGCATCCTGTATTTTATTTCAAGTAAATACTTTCTTGTAACGTCAGGTAAGTGAAGAGCCCACAGACACATGCACACACAAAGAAAAACAAATCAACCTAGAATGAATCCCACCAAAATGTGTTCTGATCGCAGAATTTCACATCTTCTGTAATATACCTTTTTATTAAAAGTAGAAAAAAAGCACTTACCCTTGATTATCTATATCCTCTGACCCAAGTGGCTTGGAATCAGAAAACAGCATCACTCGACTTGAAGCCATCTTGGTATCGATGGAGTGAGCGGAGACGAGACTCTGGACCAGCTCATGAGTGGACCCCACCTCATCCTGTCAAGACCGCCAAGAAAGGGTATGTGAGGAAAGCACAAAGATCCTGGAGAGACACTGGTTTCACTCAGTTTCTCAAAAGTATCTTAGACACATTTCCTGAGAACCTTTCTTAATGTCTTGAAAAGCAGAGAAGAAAATCTTCACAACAAAGCTTGAAATGGATCCCCATCTCCATTAAACTTTTCCAATGTTCTGGGAGTATATAACCTGATACTCTAAACACCTAGCTAGAAAAACCTCAGTTCCAATGGTACAACAATGCTAGCTTTTCTAACATTTTAAAGTACCCCTCATTTTAACCCAATACAATTCAACTTCAGAACTCACAAATAAACATTTGAAACCCACTTTAAAATACAGAAAAGGAGCCCACTGTGAATGAGAAAAAGAAAAAGACCAAAGAGATCTGGAAAGCACACTGATTTTGTTGAAATGGGAAAGGGGCCGTGCAGGCGCCACACTGGCAGCAGGCCATGGATCAAGGAGGCATGGAGGACAGGACTCTTCTGCTTGGTACAATGAAAAAAAAAAGTACTCTTTTAATTCTATAGATTTACAATATGCATTTGGGCCTTTATTACAAGTACAAGAGAAAAGTCTTCAACAAATAAAAGCTGAGTACATTACTTTTTGTGATTAAAAAATAGATTCAGAAAGAAGAATGAGAGTTCAGAGCAATGAATCCTGTCTCGCTGATGCCCCAAAACTGTGGCTGCCACCAAGGTCAACATAGACGGGGTCTTTGTCATCAGCACACCCCCAACTCCAGAAAGAGATGCATAAACCAGTTTCTCCTTCTCATTTAAACAGAACTTCTTCTGTTGTTCAGGAAGACACAAGGGTCTGGGAGGAAACTGGCATCACTCACGGCAAAGTCTCCTACCCCTAGAAGACAGGCCCCTTTTAAAAAGCAAGCTTCCACTGACAAGAAGTCAATAAGTATCTACTGTTGACTGTGGGGGTAAAAATGCTCCACAGCCCAAGGGCTTAAAACATTTCACTAAAGAAGGGCACTGCACCAAACCGGAACAGTGTCCCTCTAGCTACAGGAGAAGATGGATTTGATAACACGTTGCAGGCCTCCACATCTCTGGGTTACTTTTAAAACCTCCAGCAAGGCCATCTTCCCTTGTTTGGTCATATTTCAGTTTTCCTGAGAAATCAAGCCATGCCAAGAATCCTATGTGTAATTCTAACATGTTCTAATAACAAGACAATACCTGGCATGTGAATCTGGCTTTTATTTTTTAAGTGTGCTCATCTTTACCATAAAGTGACACCTTCTGGTCACATTTGATGTTTGTTTGTATATCCTCTTGGTTTGTCAAATCTTCCACCCTAGAAAAATAAATTCAGTCATACAGCAGAAATGAATGTCAAAAGTTCCTATACCTCCTTTCATGTGTCAATGACTCACCACACTCTTGTCCACTAAGCATGTTGTTCAGAAAACTAGAAAATACAGAAATAAGGAAGCACCATTCACCATCCACCAGAGGAAAAGGGGCAGAAATACCACTGTAGGCTGAAAGTGACATTCATTCCATAAGACACCAGATAGGGACATGATATCCACCTGCGGTCAGGGAAGATTGAAAAACACATTCAGAAAATCCCTTTATGGAAGAGGGCAAGCCTGTACTCTGGGATTTTTACTGTGATGTGGATTCTGACAGGTGGAAAAGGGTATTCCAGGCTGAGAAAACCATGAGGAAGAGTACAAAGGAAGGAAACTGAAGGCACACACGAAGAACTCAAGCACATGGACACAAGGCAGCATCACTGAAAACTGTCGCTGAATACAGGACAGGGCCACATCCTATAGCCTTAAGTGCTTCCAAGTCCTCCCATTTTCCTAAATAACTCATAATTAATTTACTCCCAAAGGCACAGCATCTTGGAGCAATAGACATTTTCCATCAACTACACTTCTACCCCCACTATTCAAATCGGCAAAAAATAAATTCTATCACTGTTCTTTTTCTAGCCTTTTTAGCTTTGAAATATATGACCGATGAAGAAAAAGTTTACAATCACTATATACCTGTCTGCAAGGACATAAGGGTGAGAAGTTTGCCATGTGAGAGGCCTAAACTTCATAACTGTAATAAAATGGCCCAGATTGTCAATTTCCTCATTTTGATATTCTCCATGCACCACTCCAGAAAGGTAGAACAGCTTGGCACCCTAGACATTAAGGGAAAACTAAAAATTATATTTCAGTTAAATTCTTGTCAATACTGCAGCAAAATAAAAGCTCTAAACAAGAAGCAATCCTAAGAAGGGAGACTTCCAGCAAAGTCCTGAGGCTTCCAGAGCCTCGCTGTGCCATAGAGTAGCACTGTCTCAAAAAAAACGGAAAAGAAAATATGGATGCTCCAAAGATAAAGAAAAGCCCAATCCAACTATATTATTGCAATAACAGGAGATTTCAGATTGTACACTGCCATTCTACCACTGGAAGCTTGTTTCATTTTCCCTCAAACTTGGAAAGGTCACCATCTTCCAACGCAAATTCTCATAGGAAAAAGAGAAAACTCTCACTTCCACCAGAATGTGGCTTCGTCAGGGCAAGCGTGGCACATAGGAGGTGCGTGCTATCTGTTAAATGATGTCTTCACGGTGACCAGGCCTGCTAGGCCCTTCCAAGGAACATACTTGGCAAAGCCACAGGGCAGTTAGGATAAGATATTTATCACATCCTTATCTCTGGGAACTTACCCGGTTTTGAAGCCATACCCAACTTAGTGAAAGCAAAAGAGAGGCAGCATGATATGACAATATTTAACATATTCCACTCAAGAAAACAACAAATACATGCATGTCTCTCAGATGACAACAGCCACGCCAACTGTGTCTGTGGCAGCATCTCCTACCTGACACGACTGTCACAGGGCCTCAGATCTCGGTCAACTTCTGCCGGGTAAACTTCCGATGAGCCACTGTATCAAAGTGCTCTTTCCAACTTTTGGAGGCCCCATCACCATCACCACTATTGGTGGGGGCTCTAGTGGAGTTCGATCAACCACTGGAATATGATGCTTCTTTGTCTTCAAATCCTGAGTCCTATTCATGAAAAAAAAAAAAAAAAAGTAAACTTACTTTCAAAATAGAATAAAAGGTATCAACCATATAAGTAGACTTTTTTTTTAGTATAGAGTACTTTAATATATTAATTAGAGAGTACAACAGACATTAAATAAATATATTAACTTGTCAATTATTAGCTTGATAACTTCCAGTCCCCATCTAAATAATTGCTGTTCAATAAAATGTAACAAGATGACTTCAATAGCATAGAGAATTGAAAATTAAACACTCCTTAAATCTGACTGTTTTATAAGTGATTCTAATAGTTTTTTTAAAAAACCAAAAGGTAACTACCAAGGCAGTGCATCATAATGGACAAGAACAGAAGCTGTAGAGTAAATCTGACTCTCCTACTTACTGGTTATATGATTGGAGGTAACTTGTTTTCTTGACCTCAGTTTTCTTATCCATAAAATGAGGGCAAGAATGATTCCTACTCTGGTAAGGCTGCTGGAAGCATTTAGTTGAAAAACGTTTAAAGTACACTGTGAGGCATATCACAAGGACTCACTAAATAAAGCTATGTTAGTATTAAATATTGTAATTTTTGTATTTTATGTTACAACTATGTAAAACATATCTATAGGGAAAAAGCACACTTATCACCATAGAAACAGTTTAAAGCTTAGGAATAAGCAGATTCTATGAATTCTTTTATCTTGAGCAAGAAACACCAACCAGTGTGCAGATGCTGAAGGCAAGGCAGCTTCTATGGGGAAGGTTTCCCACGTTTTAGTGAAAGCCACACAGCATGCATCTCTATGTCCTTTGGAGCTGGACTAGACCCGTGAATCAAAATGTCACCTGTGAGAGGCTCCTTCTTTTTAAAAAGAATCAGTGGAAGAACCACCAGACTGCAGCTAAACATACCAGTGAAAGGATCAAGCCATCCGCACAGTAGACTGAACTGCAAAAGCTTTGGGATTTCTCTTCCAGGCATCTTCTTCTTCTCCTAGTTGGATATCCCGCAGATGCCGCTTCTTTTTCTTTTCAGCTTTGGGCCCACTGTTTTTCTTTCTGTTTCTTCTGGTCCTTAGCCTCCATAGTGGCTATTTACCAATAACAAGTAACTCTAACCTATAAGGAAGAAGGTTGGGGTAAGGACTGGGAAAAGCATTTTACAATCCAGGCAATACCCAGGGAAAAACAGTAAATTTCATTTATTTCTTTATGAAGAGATAATGTATTTGTTCACTGAACAAGGGCAGAAACTGCTTAACCATCCTCAATTTCATTCCTCTGTCATGCTATTAATTAGATGAGTTACCTCTGCTAACGTTATATTTTATGGTTAAGTTACTTTTTTTTTTTACACTTTTTTTTTATACTTTAAGTTCTGGGGTACATGTGCAGATCATGAAGGTTTGTTACATAGGTATACACATGCCATGGTGGTTTGCTGGTTAAGTTACTTTTTATTCATCCTAAAGGTCAACATCAGCAATATGTATATCTGCAAGGATGGAAATATTCTACATCTGTGCCTTTCAGCCATTTAGCCATTAGCCACATGTGGTTACTTAAAATGTACTCAGGGCAAATAAATGAATGAATTTTTAATTAATTTCATTCTAACTCTAAATAGTCACTTGTGGCTACCATACTGGACAGCTCAGACCTAGACATCAACTGGACCAATGAAGTGATTTCCTAACTTAAACTTAAATTTCAATAAAAAATGTAAAACGTTTTTATGGACTTCCAATACGATCGTAGTATTACTTTTAGTACCTGTTGACTCTGTAAAAGACTCCTAAAGCACAACTCATCTACATACATTTGAAAAACAGCAGCATCTCTGTGTGAGAAATGACTGGTTCTAGATGATGCCTGGAGACGCCATGGATTTAACAGAGACCCTTCTAGTAATGTTTGGACTACCTGACAATCTGTGGCCAATAAATTGGTAATCACTGAATTAGTGAGGTTTATAGGAAATTGGGGCACATAAAATCTGACAGCTTGATTTTTAAAAAGTGGGGCAGGGTGCCCTTTCATTCAATTAAGGTAATGCATTAATTCCGTTTAATAAATATTTGTGTCTGTCTGTGATGTGCTAGGCACTGTCTGACTTGCAGAGGGAAGTCCAAACCTGTATCTTCCATGCCATGCAATAAGGGCTACACTGGAAGCCTGCACTGGAGCACAGAGGTGAGTCAGCGCTTCCCACAGGCACACACACCAGTGGAAAAAGAAAGCTTTTTTTTTTTTTTTTTGAGACGAAGTCTCTCTCGTCAGCCTGGAGTGCAGTGGCGCGAGCTCGGCTCACTGCAACCTCCAACCCCCGGGTGCAAGCAATTCTGCCTCAGCCTCCTGAGTAGCTAGGACTACAGGGGTGCGCCACCATGCCCGCTATTTTTTTTTTTTTTTTTTTTTTTGTATTTTTAGTGGAGACAGGTTTCACCAAATTGGCCAGGATGGTCTCAACCTGTTGATCTCGTACCCACCTCGGCTTCCCAAAGTGCTGGGATTACAGGCATGAGCCACCAAGCCCGGCCCAGAAAGTTTTATCTATCACCAGAATGTCAAGGAACACTGGCCAGGAGTTAGGAGAGCTGGGCACTAGGAACACTTTTGAAACGGAACAGCTGTGTGATTTCAGAGATTATGTTTCTTCTCTACTATATTTTAGTTCCGAACTTGTACTAATGTTTCTCTCCCTATCTTTCTTCTTGGTGGGAAAAGCACAATTTGGGGTCAACAGATTCAACTCAGGTCTAAGTCGTCTGCCGGGACCCCGTCTACAGGAAACGAAGTCTCCCCGCCACCTTCCCTCCGCGTCCAGTTATTTTCCCAACGCAAGACACCTTCCGCAGATGCGAAATATGCCCTTCCTAGGGAGCAAAGATTACTGGGATGACCGGGGGACAACCTTCCCACCCGCACGATTCACCATCCTCCCAGTGCCTCAGACGCAGGGTCCCCACCGCCACCTACCACAGCCTACGGCACTGACCCAGCTCACAGTTTGAACTGCTCAGGTCGGAATGGAAACCACCGGAAACGGAAATTCACTGTTGCGCAGACTCCCAGAGGGAAACAAGAAGAGGGGAAAAAAGAGAAGACCGGGGGACGACTTTCAGAAGAGAAACGGAAGAGAGACTCTCGGACAGCTGAGTGTGGGCGCAGGCGCCGTCTTCGAAGTGCGTTCCACAGATCCACATCTCTGCCAATTCCTCCCCACCCCACCCTTGGAATCCGAGGCCTCAACTCCCACGGTGGGACTCCCCAGCCGCGTGCACCACGCTTGCCCGAGTCCTCCCCGAAGGCCAGGGCGGCCGTGCGACCTGACGCCGTGTCAATTGGTGCGGTACAAAGGAAGGAGACATATTTGGTCCTGGCTGCCCGGGAGTCACCATGCCCGGGAGTAATGGACTATCGCTCGACTGGGAGTCCACTTCCTCCTCTTTAAAGATGACAGATAAGGGGCAACTCGCTTCTGGGGTGCCCTAAAGCCGTCTTTTGGCCGGGCGCGGTGGCTCACGCCTGTAATCCCAACACTTTGGGAGACCGAGGCGGGAGGATCGCTTGAGCATAGGAGTTCAAGACCACCCTGGGCAACATAGGGAGACCCAGGTCTTGCGAGAAGAAAAAAAAAAAATTAGCCAGCGTCGTAGTGGGTGCCTGTGGTCCCAGCTACTCTGCAGGCTGAGGGGGAGGATCGCTTGAGCCCAGGAGGCGGAGGTTGCAGTGAGCTGAGGTGGAGCCACTGCACTGCAGCCTGGGCGACAGAGCGAAACACTGTCTCGAAGAAAAAAATAAATAAATAAAATAAGGCCCTCTATTGCCAGGACCGACAGACTGAGGGCAGGGACAAACTGACCCAGCCTAAACTGCCTTGCCTTCCCTGCTCCTGGGAAAGGGGCTTTCCCTGAGGGAACATAGCATGTTGCCATTTTCTTCCTGCACAGCTTTGCCTTCCCAGGCCTCCGCCCGTTCACACCTGAGGAAATGCCTTGAAGTCCATCTAACCCCCAGCCCAGCTACCAGGGACACTAGGTCCTGAGTTTAGGGAGTGGGGAAGAGGAAGGAGAGATGGAGACAGGCGTGGACCAAGAGCCACTCAGAGCTGACATCCTGGAAAGGAAGCCAGGCTGAGATAAGGGCAAGGCAAAGAAATAGACACTAGCAAGGATCAAGCCAGAGCAGGGCAGGGACTGGGGACAGAGCCCGCCCCCATGCGAAGCTGTCACATTGCTGGTCCGGTGGCCTCTGACAGCAGCGCCATCTCCAGTTGGAGCCTCCCGCCTCTGGATCCTGTCACTGTAACTTTGCTTTGTTACTTAGGCAGACAGCAGCGGTAACAGGCAGGGAAGATGATGCCCAGGGCAGCTGGCCGTGCCATTCCTGTCCGGCTGCCAACCCACCCCTCACTGCCCATTTCATCACCTGGGGGAGTTCAGATGAAACCAGCTATCAGCCTAGCTGCCCTTGCCTCCTAGTGTCACACTGGAGACGAGGGTAGCAACTGGCCTTCCTCCCCAAGGGGTGGGTAGGTTAGCAGAGACCTGGAGTCTCTGCTCCCAGGCACTATTAGAGACAGGAACCAGCATATGAGACGGGCTTGAGGAGAAGGTTGGAGAAGACACATTTTTGGCATAAACCGGAGGCCCCTCTCTGCGCTCACTGAACCGGCGCCCTGCGCAGTGTTGAGCCTGCCCTGGCCGTGCCCACCTGGGATAGCCCCTGAGCGGTGGCCCGCCATACTCGGTGGGGAGAGGTTCACGCTGCTCCTCGCCATGCTTGGTGGCGGATGCAGTCTGGCTTGGGGGTCCCGCATCAAACATGCCCCGCCAGCCCTGGCCACCATTTCGGAGGGGATGCCCCAGGCTGCGGTTCTGGGACTAGCGGGCTGCCGGCAGGGAGGCGGCTGCAGCTCCGGAGCCAAGAGATGAAGCAGATCCCAGAGCCAACTCCGCAGCCGCAACTCCAGCTTTGTTCGTGGGTCCGGGATGCAGCGGCCTCCAGTCACCCCATGGACGCACCGGGTCCGCCTAGCCACCGCAGCGTGGCCCTGGCTTCCCGGATCTGCGAGATTCCCGCCAGGGCCGGGCCTGTCTGGCTGCGAGGAGGAAGGCGTGGCCCTGGTGGGGAAGGGGCAGGGCTGCGGCTCTGGCCACAGGGCAGGGGCAGAGAAACGACGCCAGTGTCATCCGGGCGCCCAGCTCCCTCCCGCCTGGGCCAGAAGACCCCGGGACCACTTGCGGCTGAGGGCCCACAGAGCCCTGGAAGTCGGGGGCGGGGGCGCCCTGGGAAGCGAGGCGGCCAGGCTCTACGCCGGCAGGACTCAGATTTCATCGCTGGTTTTGAAATTGTGCTCGCGGAGCCCGGGACGCTGGGAGAAGCATTCTGCGCCCCTCCGGTCGTGGTCTGCGCATTAAACCGACTTCCAGTGCTGCCTCTGTTCCCTGCACGGGAGGGCACCGACATCCCACGAAGTCGCAGGTCCTCAGCCTACTGCCCGCCCCCCTTGCAACGGATGCCGGAGGGGACCCCGCCTCGCTGCGCTGCCCCCTGGCGGCTCAGGCGTCCACTTCAGGCGGGAGCGGCGGCTGCGAGGCTTCCAGGAGCCCAGGCCCAGCCACTGATGAAGAAGCGCTAGTGGCTTCGAGGTCGCGGCTTCCAGAAATCCGGTTATAGAGCGAGGCTGGGGGTCAGGTTCCAAAGGGACAGTGCCCCGTCGTACTCACCACCCAACCCGCCGCTTCCGAAGCCACAAGCCTAGGGTGAAGCTGTTGGGTGGACTCGGCGGATGAGGGGCGGTGAGGGAGTTTGAGACCACAGGAGTTCAAGACCAGGCTGGACAACATGGAGAAACCCCATCTCTACTAAAAATACCAAAAAAATTAGTTGGGCGTGGTGACGGACACCTGTAATCCCAGCTACTGGGGAAGCTAAGGCACAAGAATCAAGTTCAAGACCTGGGAGGCAGAGGTTGCAGTGAACCAAGATCACGCCATGGCACTCCAGCCTGGGCAACAAGAGCAAAACTCTGTCTCAAAAAAAAAAAAAAAAAAAAAAAATTGTCAGCCCAGAGGCACTGCCATTCAGAAGCAGGCTTAAGCCAAGTCCTCGAGACTAGAAAGCATGAAGCAGGGGAGGCGTTTTGAACGCTTATGGACAAAAGACCGTGGGCATGGATGGCTGAGTCCAAGGATCAGCATCTTAATTTGTTGAGAAGGAGGCTGTGCTGAGCTGCCAGTTATTAATGGGTTTAATTGGTTGATACATGGCCCTACTACTGGCCTAACCAGTAGCTCAGGGCCTGGAAGGATCCACAGGACATGTCAGAATTTGATTGCATTTCCTTCTGCTTGGCATAAGGAGACAAGGGGCCCAAGAGGTAATCTTCGCGAAGAGGTAACTCAGCTTTTCCAGAGACGATGTTCACAGCCCCTTCATGGCTGTGAATTTAAAATCCAAACAAGACTTGGCAGGGGATCCCAGCCCCCACTCCATCTCAGAACTGCCTTCCTTGGGTATCTGGAGAGAAAGAAGGGACTCAGCTAAGGGCCTTAGGGATTCTCTTTGCAAAACTGTGTCATTGTTGCCATAGATCAGGTTTTTAAAACTGGGTTTCACAGGGCCTAGATTTTAGACCCAGAGGCCTTTTAAGAAACTGTTTCAGGTGCCTGTGCCCGCTTTGGCCTGGTACCCTCACCACAAGCTGGGAGGTCCCCACAAGAACCCAAGTCACCTCCTGGTGCTTGCTCTTGCACCGGGAACTCTGGTGTGAACTCTGCCATCTCTCTCTCTGCTCTCAGGGCCAGTGTGCCACTCAGAACCGTTGGCTTATCTTCAGCTTCCAGAGCTGAGGTTCCAGGGGCACAATAGTCTTCTGTGCCCCCTTGTCCTCACCCCCATCAAATCCCAGCTGCATTCATGCTGTTTTGCTATTGTGGTGGGAGCAGCCTGGGGGTGGTGCAGGGGGGGTGGGACAGGGACTGGCGTAGACAGACCGTGGTCAGTGGTCAGCACGCAAGTCACATCCTCAGGCAGCGCCATAGGGCCTGCCAGGCCTCGCACAGAATGGCGATGCTCCTGGGCCCCCTGGGTCCCTCTGCAGAGTCCCCTCTGGCCCACACACAACTTGCTTCCTCTCTGACCAGCCCCTTGGTGGCATTGAGGTGGGGGTTGTTTTTTCTTGCCGTCTCAGCCAGTTGCTATTTTGGAGCCATATTAGGTCACCAGCTAAGCCCTGGATGCAGGAAAGGCCTGTCCCCAGGACCACAGCTGAGGCTTTGAGAAGGTTTAGAAGGCAAAGTGGGTGGGGGGGGGGGGGGTGAGGATGAGTGAGCCTAAAGCCAAGAGAGCCTTCTGGAAGTCAGCAGGCACAGCCTTCCATCACCTCCGAGGAAGCCACTGGCCTGTGAGCATCAGAGAAGCCCCTCTTGCCTCCCCCAGCCCTCTCTTGTTTGAACAGGTCTCAGACGCTACAGATATACCATCCTGGGCATAACAGAGACTAAATGTAACAGATGGGTAAGCTAAGGCCCAGAGAGACGGGGTTCCCTGAAGTCAGGTCATTGAAAGACTTACCCCACCACTACATGATACAGTATAACCTTTTCCTGCTCTGTCCACACTGTGTCCTTTCATGGGGAAACTGAGGTACACAGCAATGAACAGAAGGCAGGTCTCACTGAGCTCCAGTTGGGATCCTGGATGCCAGAAATTTTCAAAAAGCAGCACAACATCCTATTCCCATAGGGTATTCTCAATGGCCCCAAACTCCCAGGTCCTGTCAGGGGAGACCAGAGATGGGGAACAATGCCACCATGGTGGGGGGAGCAGAGGGAGGCTGGAAGAGGCTGATTAGGGGTCCACACTTGACCTGTGGGTCATGTTCACCCTTCTTCCAGGATGAGAAGCTCCCTTGGGGCTCCCACAAGTGCCCCCATCAAATCACCCACCATTCACACCCTATGTCACCTTGTCTGTTTACTCATCTGTAGTCCCCACTAGCCTGTGGCTATGAGTCCCCAGGGCCTGGCCTGAGCACAACAAATGTTTGGTAAGAGAACAAACAACTGAAAAGATGCATGCACTGAACAAACACCCCAGAAATAGTCCTCCAAAGTCACTGGTCACCTGAAGCCAGTTCACTGAAGAGGCAGAAAAGTCTCTTACAAGAAAGAAAGAAAGATCTCCAGCCAAGAACAATTCCTCATGTGGAGAGAATGCTTTACAGTTTACAAAGAGCTTTGGCATACAAATGCTTTTGCCTGGCACCAAAGGGTGCCCTTCCAGACTCATCTTCCTCCTCTGTGCCCAGCCCCCTTCCACGCCTATTCTATCCACACAGGTCAACAGGTCAGCCTGGGTAGTGTTGGCCTTAGGCCAGCATTTCATAGGTCCATGTCTGCCCCAGTAAATAATGTCAGAGTTGAACTCAAGGGTGACCGTCTGCCTCCCTCGCTCATCTACAGAACACCCTTGCATACATAGGCTTTCTTCCCCAACCCATTCCAGACCCTGACTCTCCTCAAACTCACAGGTGCGCCCAGGTCTGGAAAGAAAGTGACCCCCATGTGTGTCCTCCCCATAACACACCTCTTGCATCTTTGCAGAGGAAACCCCAACAAGGGGAAGAAGTGAAGGCCACAGGTGAGTGTCTGAAATTCCCAAAGGAGGCAGGAGTAAATGGAGGGAGGGGAGGAGTCCAGCCCACGGAGAGGAGTAGCATCTGGGCAGGCCCTGGAGACTCCTCAAAAGGGGCTGGGAGGTCGTGGCGATCTGTGTATTTATCTTGCTGGCAAAGAGGCGCTGCCCAGTCGACTTTGTAACCGAATCTACCAAACAGGCAGACTTTGCAACACAGACGGCTCAGGTTTCTGCAGAAGGCGCTGGGCAGCTGGAACCTCTCGCCGTTTCTAGCCCCCCTCTCCAGAGCTCAAGAGGATTTCCCTTGCATTTCCTTCCAGGCTGGGAGGGCTGGGGACAGTGCAGTCTGTGGGGTCAAGCCCTTAGAAACCACCACTTCCTATGTGGCTGAGGGAGGGCCAGCAGCTGGAGGACATAACCGGGGACCCCGTGTGAGAAACAGCAGGAGAAGCCCTCTGGGCAGTCACTGCTCTCCAGGGTGCCCTTCGGGTCGGGAAGGACAGAGGTCGGAGGAAAGATTTTCGGCCCTTCCAGAGAAGCTCCGAACAGAATCTGCACTCTCGGTCCCAGCCGGCCGTGTCCAGAACGAGGACAGGGTTGGACATGAGGACATTTGGAAGGGGCTCCCCGCCCAGGCCGCACCCCAGCTTTCTGGAGAGAATCCGGAGACAAACCCTCCTCAACTCCCTCCCCCAACCCCTTGGAGCAGGGCTGCCCCGGCTGGGAGAGGGGAGCGGGAGAGCCCCGCCCCGGCCTGCGCTGCTCCAGCCCGGGCTCAGCTAGGAGGTGACTGACTTCGGGCGGCAAGTTTGGCAGAGTTGAGCGAAGCCAAGCCAAGCGGGGCCAGGCAATGCGGAGCCGGGCCGAGCCAGGCCAGGAAGAGCGGGTGCGACAGGGAACGGCCCGCCGCGGGGGGCGGTGGGCAGGTGCTCGCGGGGGCACCCACGTCTCCGCGCTGAAGCTGAAAGAAGCTGTTGAAATAGCTGGAGTGCAGGGGCGAGCCCAGCTGCTCCTGGCGACCCTTGCCGAAGGCCAGCTCCGGGGGCGCGGCGCCGGTGGTCGGCTCGGGCCGGAAGGCATAATCCCAGCACTTTGGGAGGCCGAGGCGGGTGGATCACGAGGTCAAGAGATCTAGACCATCCTGGTCAACAAGGTGAAACCCCGTCTCTACTAAAAATACAAAAATTAGCTGGGCGTGATGGTGCGTGCCTGTAGTCCCAGCTACTTGGGAGGCTGAGGCAGGAGAATTGCTTGAACCCAGGAGACTGAGGTTGCGGTGAGCTGAGATCGTGCCATTGCACTCCAGTCTGGGTAATAACAGCGAAACTCCATCTCAAAAAAAAAAAAAAAAAAAAAAAAAAAAGGCGCTGGCCTGGTGCGTGTCCTGCAGCTACAGGTAGACCCAGTTGAGCAGCTGAGCGGGCTGGTACACCGAGGCGGCGCTCGTGTAGATGGCCGACAGCAGGCTCACTTTGCGGCCGCGGTGCCGGCCCCTCCCCAGCCGCCCGCTCGCGCTCCACCTCCGCAGCAGAGGGGAGGGCCCCGGGGAGCCTGCGCCCACTGCCCGCCTCCCGAGCCCCGACGGCGATCGCCCCGCGCCCTGCGCCCCGAGAGCTGCCCCCAGCCGCTACTGCCGCCGCTGCCTCCCCCGACTGCAGCCCCGGCGCGCGTGGGCGGTGGAAGCAGGCAGCGAAAGTTGGGCAAGAAACTTTTGGCCTGGCCCCCTCCGCCCCGCCCATTGCGTCCCGCCCCGCCCGGCGATCCGCTATCTGCCTAGCTGCTGACTCCTTCGGCAGAGGCTCCGGGGGTGGGGTCGATGATGCCCCGCCCACCCCTTCCCCGCCTGGCACCGTCTTCGCCCCGGATTGGCTGTCTCGTTGAATAAACACCGTCAAAAGCGAGGCGAGAGGGGGACTGAGGCTCATCTGCATATGGGCCGCCCATGCGAGGCCCCGCCCAAGCCCCGCCTCACCCCGGCCGTGACAACCCAGCTTCCTGAGCTGCAGCGAGCTCAGGGCGGCCAAGGCCTAATCAATCTCGTCTCCCTCTGCTGTCGGCTCTCTTCTGGCTCGTTCTGTCCAAATCCTCCGCAATTATTTAATTTTCACTCACTTTTCCTTTCCTGTTTTCTGTCCTTTCTATACTCCTTCTTTCTCTCTCTCTTAGACTAGTGTCTCTTGTGTCCGTCGTGGTTCTGTGCGGCGCGCTCCTGTGTGTGTGTGTGTGTGTGTGTGTGTGTGTTTGTGTGTGTGTGCGCGTGTCCCCTTCTCTCTCTTTCTCTCTCTTGTCTCCTCTCTTCTATTTCCGCCTGGTCTGATGTTTCTCTCCGTCTCATTCGCTCCTCTCTCGGACGCGCGGACACAGACACACACTTCTAACCCCCTCCTCTCGCTATCACCCTCAGACCCTCCCCTCCTACTTTAATTCCTTCCATCTGCAGAATCACTCCGCCGGCCGGCTGCGCCAAGGGGGGCCCGGGTTCCTGCCCCAGGACAGGCTCCCCGCCCCCTCCCCCTCTCCCTTCTCCTATATCTGCTCTGGGCCCGCCTGGCTTCTCGCCCCTCTTCTCGTCCCGGCTCCAGCCCCAGCCCGCCCCGGTGCCTTGGCGAGTCGCCAGGATCCCAGCCTGGGCCGGGGGAGCTCGGGAAAGTGGCTGTCACCGATCTCCCTGGGACAACTCAACTAGTCCAAGACTACCTGGAGGGACCCCCGCCTCCGCCTCCGCCGGACGCCCCAAGAAGCTCCGCGGCCTTCACCGTCTCCTTCTCGGGGTACTTCGCTGCGCAGCGCCCCGGACCTGGCCCAGAGGAGCTCACCGCCTGGCTGCGACTGAATCACATCTCCCACCTTCAGTCTGGCTCTGGAGCCATTCCACCCAGCGTTGAGTGCCAGCTCGGCCACCGTCCAGCGGAGTGACTTGTGCGTGATACCTAACCTCTGCGAGCAAGCCGGCTTTCTCCTCTGTAAAATGGGAGTAGTCACCCTCCCGCCGCCAGGAACGTTTGTGTGCTTCCCAGCTTGTGCTTGGTAAACGGAAGACACTCCATAAAGGACAGCTCTTCCTGCCACGCACTCACCGAGTTACTCCGGTCACCTGCAGGGCACCTATGCACATCTGTGGACGCTCGCACCAGAAAGGCCTCAGTGATGACCAAATGCTGCCCTTTCTCACCAACCTCAAGAGCCCCTTGGATCTCCCTTCTCCATCTTGTCTATCAGTTTGCAGTTATTAACACAAAGGACAGCACATATATTAATCACATCTTAATATTTTCATTCATCAAGAACACATCTATACA